CTGCAGCTCATCGACTACGACATGAACACGTGGATTAAAACTCAATGACAAATGAAGCAAACTCCACTCAAGAAGAGCGAGTTCATTAGTCAGTTCATGTCACAGTGGTGTCAAAATGATACCATAGCGATGTGGAGTAGCCATAAGCCTGAATGGAAACTAACAGGCCTAAGAAATAGCTTTGTTTTTAGTCAGTAGTTTACGGGTACGTACCTGGCCGGACCTGGCTGGGTAACTTTTTGTAAATTCATTTTCTGCAATTGAGAAATCTCTATTTGTGTCAAATAAATAAATAAAAATAAAATAAAATGCACCATGCCACTGATATGAACCACATCGTTGATAAGCTACCAATTGGGTGTTCGAAGCAGAGCTGGGGACAAATTTGTGATGCTCTCCCATCAATGAGCTAGTTCAAACGACGACTCCACCGGGCACGACTCGGTGGTTGCAAGAGAACCTCGTTCATGCCAAAGAGACGCACCGCACCACTAGTCGCCACGTCACAAATCACGTTCAACAGAGAGTTTTGAGGCGCTTCCGTGTCCATTAATGGATGCCTTAATTTCAATCAGAATGTTTTTAATATCTTCACAATTGTGAAAAAAGTGCACTACTGCCTTGGCCAGTTGGGATTACCCAATTTAGCAGAAGCTATTCTCAACTATTGCATTGTTACAAGTTTTAATTTTAAAAATTAATTGATTTGGTGGTGCTGAAGCAGCCTTATGTTTGCTTCTTGCAATACAAGGATAGTTGAAATCCGAGCATGAATGAAATTGGGGTGGCTGCTTGAATGAAGGCCCTCTATCCTTGTCTTAGCATAGTCAAAGGTATGAGCGTCCTATTTTTCTTTGTTGCATAATTCCATTATTGTTTACACCACATGATCTAGTATTTTTTGGAACTGGTTTAGTTAAGGATCCAGTCACCCTGCAGATCAAATTTGATTTCACTATTAATTATTTTCATTCACACTCAATTTAATTGTTGTCTTAACTGATTTTATTTGTTTTTGTTTTTGTTTGTTTGTTTGTTTTGTTTTGTTTTGTTTTTTTTTCCAAGTTGGGTTCTAATTTTTATAATTTGATTTTTATTCATGGATAATTGCATTATTACAAGTTTTTGTAATTTAGTAGAAGCTATTCTCAACTATTGCATTGTTACATTATTTATCTTTTTTATTTATTTATTTATAAACGTTGATTGTTTCTACCTTTTGTAATTCTTGTGATTTGTTTTTAGCTCTCTTGCAATCTATTAAGAATTCAAAAAAATTTACATTTTGTTACACAAGTAGTCACAAGATAGAAGAGCTGATGCACAATTGAAATCCATTTATAAACTTTGTTTTGTTTATTAGACATATAATATGAATAGTTAAATTTAGTATTAAAAATATAATATCATGATATTACTATATATTGATAGTTTAGTGTTAAAATGTAAGTTCTTTCTATACAACTTTTATTTTAAAAGTATAAATCAAAGGTTGAAAAAAGATGTGTATTAATCATGTAAATTAAATTGGATCTTTTAAAATGTTGGTAGATAATCACATGTGATTATATCATGAGTATATATGTGATAAATTATTTAAACTGATAGAGTTTTTTTTGGACAATGTTTTTTGAAATTATAATTTGAGAACATTTAGTATGAAAAAGAAAAGTCTTTTGATGCAAAGCAATGTAAGAATTTGATACTAAAGTTAGAAAAAACAAAAAAATAAGATCTAATACTCATATTTGTTCAACCAATATTAGAAGATTTATTTTGAATTTTTGTGAAGACAAAGGCAGTGATCACAAGTTGTTTAGGAGATTGACAATAAATTATTTTAATGTAAAGATTGAATAAAGAAACGTATATATATATATATATATATATATATATATACATACATCTGTTTTGAAGTTTGAATGGTTTTATTACATAATCTTGTGATTATTACTTTAAACTAATAAACTTTAAGAAAAAAAAAAAAAATGTTTTAGAAAAATATGATAGAAGTTATAAAAAATTGTTCTTTCATGATACTTTTAAAGTCATCATTTGTAAAACATTTGACATGATGCTAAAAATTGCTTGTAAAATGTGTTATTTCCATAACATGAAGATAGCTCGTTGTCACTTAGATTGGTTTAAAGCAAATGTTTATAGATTTAGAATGTATCATATTATTTTGATAAATACAAATAGAAATGTTTATAGATTTAGAATGTATCATATGATTTTAATAATACAAATATTTTATAAAATATGAAAAAATTTAATGATGATTTTACAAAATATTAATTGCAACAATAAACTTATAAAAATCAATTAAGTGTATTTAGTTGTTGAAATTCCTTCAAGAAGAATTATATTTTTTAAATTCACAAGATATCAAAAAAGTAAAGAAATAGGGTATTCAAAAATTATATTAAAGGTATTGATTTATATCTAATTTAAAAGTATACAAATAAAATAACATTTTTTAAACTTTTATTTAAATGCCGCAAATATAAAACATGCATCAAATTTGGATAAATTTTGTGATTGAATACAGACACAATGAGAAACACAATTACAATTATTCAAATGTAAGTTTCATTCATTTATATGTCATAAGATTAAATAGTATTATATTCATTTCTATATGAATTATTTATATGTATTAAATAAATATAAAAATAAAATTTTATTTATTCTTTAAATTATTTTTTAAAAATTTTAAAAATATTTATGTATAAATTTATAGTAATTTGAAAAACTCCCAATCAATTTTAAAAATTTGAATTATAGAGTTAGGAAAGTGCTTTCCACTAACCATGTAATTAGAATGATTAGAATACATGAAATATGAAAGATCACATTAATAAGGGTTTTTTAAATTTATAATGATAATTTTAAAAAAATAATCCTCACTCTAAAAAATAATTATTATAAAAGAAATATCTTTTGATTGTATATATTTTTTATAAACTAAAATAAAATAAAATGGAACTTTAGAAAAGAATATTGATTTTTTTTAAAATAATTTAAAATATTTAAATATAAAATTATAACCAAGGATTTTATAGTAGGAAAAACTTTATTAGGAAAGAAATGTTAAGACAAGAATTTTTTTTTGATTCTTGTACCTATTTTTGAAATTTTATAAAAAATAATACATATTATAATTTTTAATAGAAAAAAAAGAAAACTACTAGTTATTATTTGCAAGTATATTGTTTTAAAAAACTACTTAATTGAAGGAGGTAAAATAAAATTATTTTTATTAAATATAATTGAAGCCATGGAAATAGTTTCCAAAAACACATTCTAAGATGGATGTTCCATTATGACATATCTATACAAAGTATCTACAGAGGTGGTCATAGCTTGTATATAAAATTCTATGAATTTAGAAATTGAATGGACAGAGAAGAATTTGTAAATATGAGCAAGTTTTACAATAATTGAAAAGAGAAACAATATATTACAATTCAGATGACATTTAGACAAGATTGATGATTTATTTTGATGGCTTTAGTAATGATCAGAATATATATATTTTTAATAAAGATATATAATAAAACATTATTCCAAAACATGCAATCATCTATTTCTACAAAATTGAGATTGCATATCCTAAAAATTTTGTTTTAAGCCTCAAAGATAAATTACTTATTAAAATTGATGAATATTAATTATAAACTTTTATGATTTGTAATGTGACATGGATCAAAGAGTGGTTAGAGAAGACTTGAATAGAATTAGAAGATAGATTGAAATTAGTAAAAAAAAATTCATGCAACATTCTTTCTGAAAAGAACAATAATTATTATTATTCAAAAGATGTGAGACTTTTGAAGAAATGCATGTAGGATTATAAAAAAAACTAAAAATAAAAGAAAGTAAGTTTGTAAAATTATAAGATGATAAAAATTGCACATCATGGATTTAAAGCCTCAACATCATTATATGTCTTAGATATGAATGGATGTGAGTAATTGGATGTAGTTTCAAGAAGGTTTGAGAACTTAATGCCATGCATGTTTTTAAGATCTTTATTTTCAAAATTGCATCAACTTAAAGAAACTAGATGCTAACTTTGATGGTATAAAGAAACAAAGATTTCATGTTTTAAAAGATATGATTTTTTAAAAAAGATGCCCTTATAATTAAACAAACTATTAAAGTTGAAAAAATTGACTTTTAGAAATTGCACAAATATGAGGATTGAATGTGATTAAATAAAAGAATTGACATTCTTAAATGTATTACATATGAATGGATGTGAGAAATTGGATGTGGTGCCAACAAGATTTGGTCACCTTATATGTCTTCAAGACCTGCATCTTGTAGGAGATGAAAAGTTATGTATGAGATATGAGATTTTAGAAGAGATGCTCTTAGGATTTAATAAATTATCAAAATTAGAAAAGTTGGCAATACCTCCAATTTGAAAAAGTGGGTTAATGAAATGTAGATCAGAAAACTACCTCACAATTTGAACTATGTAAAAAGGAATTCATCATATATTTATTACTTTATCATTTTGTATTAAAAAAAATGAATTATAATATTCCTTTTTTGTGACATGCTCAATTTAAGCACTCATGTTTTTATTTTTATTACTATTTTTATAAATTACAAGAATAAATTGAGTCCTATGAAATAAATTGCAGTGAGTAATTAAAAGACCCTCAATGCACTTGTATGTATGAATATAATATTCTTCTTATTAATTTTTTGTTCAAGATAATTCTTAAAACTAATACTACATTTGCTGTATAATTGTACACCACTTGTTGATTCAAATAAACTAATATAAATATGCAATCATAATAGAGCTCCAACAAAAAAAAAATGATCAGATTAAAATTTCATCTACTGAATCACAATGTTTTCTCAACCAAAAAGTAATGAAAATAGTTTACAAATAATTTTTCAACAAAATATAACTCTCAAATAGATACAGCACATTCCACATCAAAGACAAAATACGATATTTTACAAGCGCTATCCCAACATAGATGAAATATGTTTGCATGTTTGGTTGTATTTATTTCAATATTTTGATTGTAGTGCTTCAGTTTGTATTTTACTAAGTTTCATCATGTGAACTATTTACATACCACAAGAAACCTATTCTGGATATGCAAGCACGGAGCTAGCAAGCTGCAAAAAATTCTTCTGCATGTTACCAAAACTGAAAATCTAAGTTAAGGTAAACAATTCGTCAATTTTAGCACTTGCAAATCTGACGCTGAAAGTGAGCAAGAGGGATGTTAAAGTAATGGAAATAGAGAATGGTGGTTCAAATATTCAAACTTCACCCGCGTACAAAAGTGACTGCTGGTACTTGTGGTTCCATTATAATTCAGATGCTGTGATGAGGTAGAACCAACCATTAGTGTTGGGATCCTACGAGTAATATAAATCATGCTGAATGAAGATATACAAAAACGCACCATGTACCAGAATTCCTGGTGCCAACACTGCCAAAAACTGCAAAATATGGTACATTGTGCACCAGTGCGCCTTCGTTTGACAGCCATTTAGGTTCTTCATTTCTGACAGAGGATGCCTGTCGTAGCCAAAAGACGATGGTTGATCTTTGAAATGTCCGCTGGAATGGAAATGAAAAGTACAACTGTTGCTCATAATCTATCATCTCTAATTTTCAGCATTGTTTACAAGCTGCACAAGCACACAAGAAAGATTACAAGCAATTCAAACCAGAGCAAATCAAATTTAAACTAACATCTGCTACACCCCGTCCGAAAATACAGGTTAATCTCTATAGAACTAACGTTTAGAGTACAAGGTGACACGCACAGTTGGGCACACAAATTAACATCAATAACGACCAAGGTTAAGGATCACCGTACATTTTGAATGAAGGTATGCACCTCTTTTTTAAAGATTTCATCGAGCGCTCTCTCCGCTAAGTCAAGCACCCATACATCACCTTCACTACTGGAAACTTTCTCCTTACGAATATATCTGAGCAATGAACAACAGATGCACAGTTACCCTATAAACAGTTACGTGTTTCATTAGAATAGGGTTTCAGAATACCATACTCGTCATATGCGCAAGGTTTTAGTTTGCCATTTCTATAAAATTTACGACAAGAAATACAGAAAACACGCAAATCTGAAGTAAAACACAAGAAACTTCACTTTAATGGCGCAGGGTACAAGAAACAAGAAAGACTAAGAAAGAAGCACGTTGAAAATCTGTGACCAAAGTACAGGAATATACCGCTGTTTGACTAGTGTTTGTATATTTTCCTTAATGTTGCCAAACACTGGGTGACTGTTGTCAAACTCGTCGATTCCCATTCGTTTTAATTGTGTCCACAGTGTACCTGCCCGTACCAAAGAGCGCCCCTTCAATTCAATTAATGGGCAGACTCACCACGGCTATGTTTCATGACACACTTCAGCAATCATCCCAGATCTCGCTTGAGCCCTAGCTAAGGTCGATAAACCATACAATATAAATGTAATATCAATTCGGGTGGGAACATATATTTAAGTGTATTTTTGGAGGTTCTAATAAAATGTTGCAACTGCAGATGACATCATCATAGGACAGAAAGACTGATGTAATGCATATAGGAACCATTTTTTAATTTATTGAACTGAGATAATTTTCTTGTAATCAACACGTTACCTTCTGGAACTTTGTCTCCGGCAAGTTGAAGAACACCAACCACAACAACTGCAAAACCCATAGGAGCAGCGATGTCTTTGGTTTCTATGAATCTCTTGGCCAGCTCCTCCGGTACAAGGCTCTTCAGCACATATACCTTGACATCACCAGCCGGTGCTGTATCATCCATTCACATAATATTCACCGCAATTGTATGACATCCAGATAAAAGCATCACCGTGAACTCATAAAAAGATGATGGCTGGTATATTTATATATATAAAATTCAAACTTGAGTATTTGCTAAATTATGTATGCCTTGAAATCTACAAATAAAACAGAGGATTTATCATAGACCCTAGAAGTCGAATAGGGCGACAAAAGAGAACACAAACAGATCGCAATCTAATATCCTAGAAGAAGCTCTAGCATACCTATGTGCTGAAAGACGGTTGCACAAGATACTATGGGGAAAGGCATACTTTAAAGCAGATGAAGGACTTTAACTATTGAAATATCCACATGAATCTAAAGAAAAACAATGCTTCTAATTTTCAGGCACAGATAAAGCAAGAAAGAAATGAAGGGGATGCACATTTATCTCACCCTGAGATGCGGCATTCTTCGATGCCTTAGTCTGTCGCGAAAGATGGACTTCGACCATTTCCAGACCAAATATAGACTTCAGTCTCGCCTACAAGTTTCCAAAAACTAACATCAATATTTGAAGGTGGAGCAACTTCTGACGACACATTCCAGTAAACTTCACCACATGAAAGAAAGTGCATACCATAAGTGCATTTCGCCTTAATTACAATACAATCGCTGCATGCTCATGAACTCAAGGTGACGGCATGCTTGATGAACAAAAATTCTTGTTCAAAAGGAAGAAAGGAGAGAAAAATTCATGCGTGCTATACATACTCAACCAGTATGAACCCTGTTATATGACGGCTTGAGAACAAATACATTGCGCGTGCTTTTCTACAGACAGTCGTGATGAGCCATGAACAGCTCTCTCTTCACAAAACATGCTGTTTACCTGCGCATTTGCAATGACAGTACCAGGCAAACTGCGCTGCTTGTAATTCTCCGTGATAAGCTGTGCCAGTTCCTCCCTTTTCACTGGTACATTCGGCTGCTTGTGTGACTTGAACAGCATAAACCGCACCACCTCAGCGGTCAGCTTGTCAATCTCCATCGATGCGAGATATTTTTCCCTGGTTCGTGGCCGTTCAAGAAAACACTAAAAATAGGACACGAGCCACTTGCCAGCGAGAATTCAACACAGGCCACGATCGCTTATATCGAAATCCCTAGCTCCGTTGGAACCATCAAAACCTGCCAACAGAGAAACTGAGTCTAAAACCTTAATTCCTTGAACTTCCACTCACCCAGCCTCCCGCGATACATCCAAACTCCAAGAGCCAATCTACCTTTGCACTGATAACTCCGATCACCACCCCCCGTTCCAAAAACATTCGAATTTCAAGCAGTTCATGAAACCGCAATCCTTCTCCCTTGCTTACACGCTCATATCACCCCCTAAGCCACCAATTCAGCAACTCAAAACCTGCGAAACGATCTCACCTTCCCAAAGTCCAGATACAAGCCCCTCTGCGACTGAAATTCACCTGAAATCAATGCGCATCAGATACCAAAACCTGCCTCCGTAACAAGCAACAGGCTCCAGAAACCAGCAGCACCATGAATGAATAACACAAACAAAATTCAAAGCCTCGGCCCGGGGAAGAGCCAGAGAAGAAAACCTCGAAATACGTAGGTACAGAACAAAATGTACTCTGTATAATATATTCTCCAAATACAATATTGTTCCCGAGGATAGGAACTTCGGGGAACGTGAACGAAGGGAACAAGAGCTCGCAAGAACCCGACTCCAATGACTCAACCCCTGTTTCACAATTTTGTTTGCTCTCGGGGGCCTTCAGATCGATTGCGCGACTTTGGTGTTCGATTTCCAAGCCCGCGCGCGATCGAAGTAGTGCTCCTCACAGGTTAGATCATGTCCTCCGCTTTCACTTGAGCCATTCTATTTCCGATGCAACTCAGAATCGAGCATTTTGGCTATCGGTTCCGATTTCGTATGGTATTTTAGACTCTCTAGAGTGAGCGTCTTCTCGATCTTGCGTTTAGATGCGGTTTCCTTCGGTACGCACGTTGCGGTGCCACGTTGTTTGGCTTCGTACTGAGGTTTGATCTTCCATGCGCGGCTTAGTTCGTGGCTCTGTTGTGGATCCACCCTGTCGCGATAGTTCGTGTAAATATCTAGATCGTTGTGTTGTGTAGCCTGCGGATTGTCTTATTCTAGGCTTTCCGATGCCGGAACTGTGATCTTTTTGGAACTGCTCGAAGTGTCTTTCTTCTAAGAATCTGAGTCTGGCTCGCGTTGTTACATTTCTTAATGAGTATTTTGTTTTTAGGGTTCTAGCTGACATTGTTTAGGAACAATGTGGATTGTACTACGTTACCGCATTGGATTTAATTACGGTTGTCTTTGTAGTTGCGCAGTCTGTAGTCCAATGCTATGCTGTTGTACATTAGTTGTAGTCTTAGCTTGCCCAGGGCGTCCGAAGGCCAGCTGGGACCTACAGGTGGCACTTCGAATTCGTTTTCTAGCATCAATTTACTTTTCCAACTTGTTAGTGAACTAATGCACTTAAATTTTAGTGTCTTTTCATATTCGCATCGCAGCTGGTTGCTGGACATTTACTGGCTGTGGTATTATCATCAAATTATCCATTCCTTGGGAAGGGTCATAGTATGTCATTTTATTATCCATTAGTTTGGATATGGTCCTTTTCTGCAGATGTTGATATCGCTACATTTGTCATAGGTCTTAAAAGATCAATTTTTCTTTGTGCACAATTTTATTCAGTTTTGCTTAAAAGTGCATGTAGGCTCCTTTTTCTAATTATTGATTCTTAGTGAAAGTAGGATGCAATCATTGCCTTCAGTGATTTTATCAAGATTGCGAAGTTGTCGCCATGGAAATAATTGTGTCACTGATTTCCAATTGGTTCAATGTGAAGCACGGTCACAGCCCAATCATCTCATAGTCTAATTACCAGATTATTAGTTATCACTTACCAGGCTGTAAGATTTACTTCGTTAAGGAGATTGTGGTCTAGAGCTGATACACAAATGCTAAGAAGTTTGACGTATATTCAATCGAAGTAACTCAACGACTGAACCGAAGTACGTTTCTGTTGTTGTATTGCTTGAGAGCCACATCCACGAAAATGTGCAAGTTTATGAGGTCATCCTTACTTTAGGCTGTATGGTGGTTCCTATGTTTTGTGCATGTATTTGACACGTTTCGATAAGAAGCGATCGGTGCACGCGGTTTCTTATCAGCTTCCTCGTATTGACAATTTCTCAAGGAATGGGATTTTCCAGCTATTTCTTTATTTTAAGCACTGTATCAATCTTTTCTGCAGATTTAGTAACTAAGAATATACGTGGATATTGCAGGTTAATTTGCATACGATTGATTCTATGCGTTGTTTGTGAAAAAAGCCTGAACTTTGGGACCTGAAAGAGGATCAAGATGGCGCAAGAGCCTGGTGCATCGCTCATGGATCTGATTACATCAGATCCTCCACCACCTGGTAACCCAACATTTCCTCCTCTTGGAAAGCCAGAGCGATCCTCTAAGAACGTTCCTCCCCGGAAGTCAAATGTGCAGATGACACCAGAGTTGCTATCATCAATCAAAACCTCAGTGCCTGGAAAGACTGGTCTCGGTCTTCCAAAACAAAAGAAGGTATTCTTTTCCCTTCTTTCCTTTTGCAAATGCTGGTACTCCTCAGAATGGATTTAATTTCCGTTGACATTGGTTTCTCATTGATGGGATTGGGCGTTAGAAATAGGGTGAGTATGATACAACACAAAAAGCACGTGCGATCTGTTGACTTTATTTATATCTATATATATACCCAGATATAGTTTGTCCCCCTTATAATTAATCCCCCGAAAACTAATAACCCCCAATAATTAATCAAAGTTTTGGGAACCGACTCCAGCTTGAATCTAGTTATCTAGTGTTCATTATTTGTTGTTCTGATAATTAGTAACCTCTGATAATTAACCTGCCCAACTCCTTAAGTTCTAGGTTTCAATAGTTTCCTTGTTAGGTCAATATCTTTTTGCCTTCATTGTCTGCTTAGCTTTCCAGCTATCTAGTGGATTACTTTCCTTGCAACTATGTTTTTCGTGGAGTCAATATTTTAGCGTGCTTAAAGTCTGCTATCTCATATTGTTTCTTTTGAATGTGTTTTGAACTTGTTCTATCAGCTTTCTGTTTATAAACTAAGCTAGGTATTGAGACTGCTCTGAGCATAATGTTTCGTGGGTAGTTGTGATGGGATCACTAAATTTCATCATAGCTTTTTCAGGACATAACGGAAGAGATTTAGTTTAGATTAGAAATCTATCAGCTGAAGTCGTGCACGACTTCTGTTCTCCTCATTTGCTAAATTTATGATTTTCTTGTTACCCCGCATATTTTGAACTTAATGACGTAGCTGTGAAGTGGTCCTCAACTTTAGTAGTAATGATTTTCTGCATCATGTCCAATTGATAATTTGCTATCTTTTAAATTTTCTATGTATTTGCAGCCAGTATCCTACTCTCATCTTGCCAGGTCTCTCCAAGAACTTTCTACTTCCGCTGATCAGGTCTGTATACAATGAACTTGTTATTCTTTTTACCAAGTATTGCGTAGTATGGTTTCAGTATTCTGTCGCCTTCATGTACTTTTCCGTGTAGCAAGTTGGGGGAATATTGATTATGAGACGAGCCAACGGTATTGTTTTCTTTTTTCCTTTTTTAGAAAGCCGCTGCAAAGCAGCTCGTTCACCAAGTGTTTCCCAAGCTTGCCGTTTACAGCTCCGTTGATCCCTCATTGGCTCCCGCCCTGCTTGCGGTATGTTATCCCTTCCTGTTATCATTTTAGTGTTAGAACTAGGCCTATTTTATGCTCCAGTTCAGTTGAAGACATTCTTGCAGTCTCCTGCTTTTGCATGAGGTCTTCTGTTGCTCGATTTCACTTTTTGTAATTGCTCATGTTTGTGTGCTTGTGTGCGTGCCCTCTGGTGTACATATTGTATATATCTTTGATAGTGTCCATAATTGAAATGTATGGTTTCGCGGGTTTCGTCGTATTTGGAAATTATCACGGTCAATTTATTTGGGTTTCCCCTCCTGCTTAACTTGGTTGACAGTGGCTCCTGAATGACATTGCCTTTGATCGTTTGAAGCGGACACTCAATGATTTCAAGGTTGACTTTCCTATTCAATGTGCAGCTTCATAAATCATCTGAGGATAGAAGTGTACTACGCTATGTCTATTATTTCTTCGCTAGATTACTGGCAGAGAGTGGTGCCCAAGGTGTTACCTCTGGAGGGGGATTACCAACTCCCAACTGGGATGCTTTGGCAGACTTGAACCTTGCTGGAGGGACTGTGGTAACACGAGCAGAAGTTGTGCCACAAATTATTGCTCAACTCACGGCTGAAGCTGCAATGTCAGATCCTCTGTGTAAGTAATAATCCTGAGATTCATTCCAATTCAGTCACAAACGTTGTCTCTTTCTAGACTGTGAGAGTATCTTAATTTTGTTCAATAGGGAATGTTGGAAACTGTACACAACGACAATTTCTAACCTTGATTCGATGTCCCATGCAGTGCATCCTCGTCGCATCGCAGCTCTTAAGGCTCTCAGTTTCGCTCCCACATCCAGCAACGATGTGTTGGCCAATTTGTACGGGATTGTATTTGGTATTCTGGACAAGGTTTGTATCTATTCACTATGCTATTGTTCATCTGTTGTGGTAGTTCAACTATGCGTGCGAGGACTGGTGCTTTGAATTTTCTTTTGACTCTACGAGTCCTTCCTTAGACATTTTCTTCTTTTTATTCATGGTACTTTTTGAAGTACATGATGGCGGTTGAATCACACAAGCAGACATACCAGTTTTGGTGACTACGAATGAATTCTTTGATTTTCGTATCTTGAGCCAGCGCTGGGAAGGGTCTAATATACGATCGTATGTAGATCTGTCCATTATTATTTTTTCAATATGAATGTGACAGTACTCTATGCAGGTTGCTGATGCAGGTAAGCTGAAGAGGAAGAAGGGCATGTTTGGGAGGCAGAGTGTGGACAAAGAGGTGATTTTCAATAAAATATTCTAGCTTTTTTTTGGCTCCTAACCCACCAACAACAGTTGTTTATCCTCAGTGCGGTGTGGTTGGTCTGGTGATACTTTTGATTTTAAAAAGAATATTTGATTTTCATGCTTGAGGTTAAATTATTTCATAAGAGTGTGGAGCTCCTGTAACTTACTCACATTTGCGGATTTCGAGCATTTGATCTTTCAGAAATACTAATGTTCAGAAACCTCCGGGTTTGAAAAATAGTGAAGTTGATTTTGTATTTTTTGGGCATCTTTCATTATTCAAGATATTTGTTATCAGAGTTACTTTTGAAGAAATTTCTTTATTTTATTTTTTTCGATACTTTCAATTAAACAAATTTCAATCAGCGGATATCATCCAATATTTGTTCAATGATTGCTGCTACTATTAGGTCAAAGCTGAAACCCGAAGTAGCGTGAAGTTCAAGCTTTTAGTTTGAAAGGAATTGGTCCTCATTATTTGATAGGGTTGTTGGTATTGTGTTGTTAATGATTCGTTGTGAAGGTGAGTGTCGTGAAGGTTGTTACTATTTTTAAAATTATGTATTTTATTCTGAACTTCAAATGGTTATGTTGGCAGTCTGCGTTACGAAGCAACTTGCAATATGCCGCATTGAGTACTTTGCGAAGATTACCGTTGGATTCTGGGAACCCTGCCTTTCTTCACAGAGCCGTTCAAGGGTATGTGAAGACTTTGGTCTTCTGATTTTCGAGCTTGTTTTAACCATCATTGTTGAATTCATGTATTTTAACGTTTTTCTCCAAGAAATCCTGCATGGCGGAGCCCTGCAAAGAGGAATATTTAAAGTTAGAGCAGAGGAAGCTATTAACATGTGAAGGATTCCACGTGCAGAATTGCATGTGCAGATCCAGTGGGAGTGAGGCATGCGTTGTCAGTGGTGACAGAGTTGGCTACGAAGGATACCACTGCAGTGGCTATGGCAGTTGGTGAGTGGTTTCATTGTTGTAGCTGAAACAATACTTTATGATCGAAGTAATAAGTGAAATTTTCTATTTGATAACATGGTAGAAACACTAAAAATATGTTTTTATTGTTACTTTTTTGATATTCCTTCTGGGCTGACCCTCGCTTTGGGTCATGTTTGAATGTGTTCATTACTTTGAAATTATGGTTCGCAACGATGTTATTTTATTTCTTCTACTAACAATGATTTGTGGGTTGATTTGTTTGCTCTATTCACTTCTGCAGCTAAGGTTTCTCTTAATGGAGGTAATTGATCTCTTATATTCTTATCCAAGCTTTGTTTAGCAATACAAGGCTCCTCCGAACCTTGAGCCACTTCTAAAAATCATGGGGGTTCTATGCATATAAGCATAAGTAGAGCTTAAAGACTCCACTGGTATATGGAAGGAGCCTTTGCTTACGTATGTTTTCTAAAGAATAGAGTAGTTATGTAATTTGGCATGTTGATGATGGGATTGTGTACTGTAGATTATGATTCACCCTCCTATATTTATTTATAGTATATATTGTTGTGCCAGCGGGCCTTGGAGTCATTTTGATTGGTTATTTCTACCTTCGATTTTAATGGGTTCCTTGGCAAAGTGCGTTCAGGTTCATTGCAAGAAGTGCTGCAGATTCACGATGTGCTTGCCCGTGTTTATCTTGCTCGACTTTGTTACATTCTTTCTCGAGCAAAAGTTCTGGATGGTATGTTTTCTATTCAATTCTTTTCAAACGTGTGATAGATTGCCACTCCAACTTATTCATTGCCTGTCGGTTATATGCTGAAACGAATGCTGATTCTCGCAGAAAGACCAGAAGTGAGGACTCAGTTTACAACTATTTTATACCAACTTCTCCTTGATCCAAGTGAGAGGGTGTGCTTTGAAGCCGTCAGTTGTATTTTGGGCAAGTTTGATGCTTCTGAAAGGTGTGTATTTATTATGATGATTTTTCACTCTCCATTTTAATCCTTACAATATCTAAAGGAAGCGGGCCATAATTTGAGATTTTGATTCAAATTTAATTGCTTGCATCCATGTAGCCTTGAAGACCGTGCCGTTGGTTGGGTTTTACTCACAACTGCCATACTCAAATTTCCCGAGCCACCTTCTCTGCCAGCCAAGGATTCGAGTGGGGCAGCTGGAAAGGATGGTGCCACCAAAGAAGGGATACCACCTAGAGGGCCAAAAGATCGTCAGGCCCCTAGACCACGCAGGCCCCAACCCCTTATTAAGTTAGTGATGCGAAGGTAAGATAAATTCGTCTTGCCTGTGCGGATTGTTTAAAACTCACTATTATTGTTTGAGCTGGTCTTAAAATTTAAGGTCGAGTATTTCAGAGCCAAGTGAATTATTCTGTGACTGCATTGTTTTGATGTATTTGTACTTGGGTTCCGTAGGTTGGAGGCCGCATTACGGAGCTCGTCAAGACCTGTGCTTCACGGAGCTGTGCGCATTGTTCAGGAGCTTGGAAAAAGTAGGGCATCTGCAGTGGCCATCCGTGGATATACTGTTGATGAGATGGCTCAACAAGACGAATCAATGATTAATCCTACTGCTGATGCCATGAAGGGAGAGGATGAGGCTGGAGATGCTGAAGCAGGTAGTGTAATTGAACGAAAATGGATTGCTAGAAACTCTAACATCTTCGCTTCATTCTGGCGGACTTAATTGTTGTATCATTTTCCTGTCATTTTTGGGGACTAAATTTCAATTTTTTCAATGCAGGTCATCGCAGAACTGTGTCTGTGTCAGCTGGTGGTAAGGAATCGATTGCCAGCATGGTTGCAAGTCTTGTAGAGGGCGTTCGAACGACTACTGCATGTGAGTGTGTGTATGTCCGAGCTGCAGCCATCAAAGCTCTGATCTGGATGCAAAGTCCCTATGAACCTGTTGAAGAGCTGAAGGCCATTGTTAATGGTGAATTGGCTGATCCAAACTGGCCTTCAGCATTGCTGAACGATATACTGCTCACTTTGCACGCACGGTTTAAGGTCTGTGTCTTTCCTGTTTTTAGTACTTACTCTTGAAAAGTTGCACTTTCCGTTATGAGCTCAAGGACTTTTTAAACAGGCGAAATTATTGTAGTCATGTGTCTTTATGGGGTATCCTTTTATCTTTCTGTAGTGGCTCAAGATAACTGCGCTAGCAGATTTTTTCTGTGGTAACTAATACTAAGCTTATAGTCACCTCTTCTGATTTTGATTGAAATCGACGATCATCGTTGCAGGCCACTCCGGAGATGGCTGTGATATTACTGGACATATCTAGGCTATTTGCCACGAAGGTACCTGGGAAAATTGACTCAGATGTGCTACAACTTTTATGGAAGGTACCCGCCTACATATTCTCACATGATACTGAGATTTTTACCCTCGAGCTTTTCGTCTGGTGTTGCTGACATTTTCATCCGTACTAGCTAACTTAGTACTTTATGCGCAGACATGTCTTGTAGGGTCAGGCCCTGATGGAAAGCATAATGCGTTGGAGGCAGTTACAGTTGTGCTTGATCTCCCTCCTCCACAGCCACTACAGATGGTTGGAGGAAGAGCAACAGAGCGTGCTGATCCAAAATCAGCAATTGCTCTGCAGCGGCTCGTGCAAGCTGCTGTATGTCTTACTAATCAAGCTTGGTTTTGTCTGAATCTTCATGTCTCATTTTTTAGAGGAATTTTAGAAACCTGAAAGATCGTCTTAATGTGTTAACAGTGCTGTGTTGATCACACAATTCAACTTATGTTATTCTGTATTATTAATATGCCATCCCAGTTCTCTTCTTCTTTATACAGCCTTGATTTTTGCTTGACGTTTGAAGGATTTTGAAGTGCCATATATGCATTTGGCTTTGAAATTGCAGTAAGAAATTACTGCTATTTTGAAATTTGTTTATTCGTAAGTTCAAATCCACTTTGGTATTATTAACAATTGAAAATTATCAGGTGTGGTTTCTTGGAGAGAATGCAAATTATGCGGCAGGAGAGTATGCTTGGGAATCAGCTACTTCTCCTAGTACAGCTCTTATGATGCTTGATGGTGATAAAATGGTGGCTGCTGCAAGCTCTAGAAATCCGACTCTTGCAGGAGCTATTACTCGTCTTCAACGATGTGCTATCAGTGGCAGCTGGGAGGTATCAACGTGCAACCTTGCAATCATACACTTTGCAGTATCGCTCGCTTGACGCGGTGACTTGTATCCTATGACAGTATTATTGTCTATCCAGTGTTGAATAGTTTTACTTACCAAGACCTTATGTGCCAGGTGCGCATCATTGCAGCACAAGCTCTTGTAACTGTAGCGATCAGATCTGGTGAACCATATAGGATTCAGATCTACGAGTTTATGCATACCCTTGCTCAGGGAAGGACAAGAGAAAAGGTCGTAGGTGCAGAAGCTACTAATGGAGAGGATCAAGGTGCCAGTGGAACTGGTCTCAGCTCTATAATTGCACCAATGTTGAGAGTTTTGGATGAGATTTACAAGGGTCAGGATCAATTTGTCAAGTACGTGCTCTGTTCTCTCTAATTCTCCTCAGTTCATTATAGAGCAACAAATTGTTCTCTGTTGTCTTCATTAAATAGAAGAATTTACTGATTGTAGTTTTATCCGCTTAGTGCGGATAGTACATTATCCACACCCTACATCATCTACTTCATCCAGTTTATCAATCATTGAATTGATGCACTTGGGATGCAGGGATACACGGGAACATGACAACGCTAAACGGGAGTGGTCCGACGATGACCTGAAGAAACTCTATGATACTCATGAAAAACTTTTGGATCTTGTGTCACTCTATTGTTTTGTTCCTCGCTCGAAGTATCTACCGCTTGGGCCTACTAGGTAATGGTTGGATCACTTCTACTCATCCTTGTCGAATGATTCCATGACCTGAATAGAAATTGGATATTTATGAGACGAAAGGGATCTAAGTTTTTATGTGAGATGCTAGTGGATAGACTGATGAAGACAACAAATTTTTCTCTGCTTAGTATTTGTGAGCACTGAACGCTTGTGGATATATTTGAACATTTGTACAGCTCCACTTCGTTTTGGTCATCATTTTAATCCTTCAGACACTAGGCTCTTGTTGGAAGGAACTTGTGTCACCTGTAGACAATTTTTTTTCTAATGACAGTATTGTATGTTCACTTTGGTGCAGTGCGAAGCTAATCAACTTATATCGTAATGAGCACCGGATCGATGCATCTGCTGGTTATAATGACCCAGCAGTAGCTACTGGAATATCAGATCTACTTGACTACGGAGCAAGAGGAGGTGGTGTACAATATCCTCCTGTTAATATCGAGACTGGAGATGACTTGAATGTCACCTCAGAATGGGGGAATAATCAACCTGGCGTGGATAGGGTACGACCATATTTTAAGCTGTTGCTTTATCTGTTAGCTTTTCCGGCCCGGATTATTTGCTGAATGCGACTTGAAGATAGACCCAGCAAGGTTCAACTGAGGCATTTTCTGGTTGTGCATTGGACAACTACATGTGCTTTGATACAATTATTGAATTGTTATAATATACGGATATTTACTTGGATTGAGTGATCACAGGTAAACGCGTTCATGAAAGGTGGAGGTACTGATGCTCCAGAAGATGACGCAGAAGAAGAAGAGGAAGCGCGACCTTCTATTTCGTATGATGACATGTGGGCTAAGACACTTTTGGATGGCTCTGACAGCTCGGTAATGATGACCACTATGACCAACTTGACTGAGTTGTACTGATTTAAGCTTCTCATGCTATTTAATAGTTATTTCTTACCCATACGATTATTTGCATGTAACATAGGACGACGAAGGTGGATCATCTGGGTCATCGTCACCAACATCAGCCGCATCATCAAGGCATGGCAGCACTCGCTTTCCTGGAGGATTGTTTACTGGAGGCCAGGCTTCGCGGCGGGTATGCTATCTTGACATTTTTCATGCGACAGTGAAACACGGTTGCTCAACTACTCGACATTACATTGATACGTTTCCTTGTTTTATTTCTCTTGTAGGAGGATCCTTTTAAATACCCCTCTACGGCTACTTCTGGCATGAAAGATATGTCGACGAAATCAGAGTCACCTAAGGTAGCATCATTTTTGCTATTTTTCCATTTGCTTGTTCACCTTATTGTCGCACTTTAATCGTTTCGCTCTTGACATTTTTGGTTTTTCCATATCCTCGTCATGGATTTTTTTTGCCATAGTTCGCCCGCACCACTATGGATTGACTGTTTGGTTAGGAATGTCGAGTTTCTCTGATTGGAAGTTTGAGTCTTAATGTCGATTGATGTTCATTTGCAAGTTGTAGATTTTTGCATTAGGAATTCTTCGCAACCGTCCTAAAAATTACTAAAAATTGTACATCGCCAATTTTTGTGCTTCTGCACTGTTTTGGTTGTTATGTCTGTTGCTATGTCGGGTCAAACCATATGAAGTTTCTCCTTTTTGACTTCTGAGTTGATATATTCTTGTTGGTTATTTGATTGTGAAATTCTGGCATCTGATTCAGACATCTGGACGGAAGTTTACTACATCGGCAAGGAATGATTCAATGAACTCGGATAGTACTACTCGAGATTCTCCTCGAATGAGTTTCGATGCGGGTAGTGATGATCGTCAAGAGCCTCAGTTCGGCAAAGCACTCTACGATTTTACTGCTGGTGGCGATGAAGAGGTTCTCTTTTGTGTTTCTCTCCTGTTCCCTTTTTTATTCTGAATCTATGAAACCAAAGTGGGAAACTATCATACTTTACATCTATAAAATGATGACCTAGAAGCTTCTTTGATTTTTTAGTGAGCAACGGAGTTGTGCACTTGTACGTCCACATCAAGTCGGCGGATTGTGGCACTTTCCATGATGTAGAAATGCACAGATCTTGCTACTATTTATCCCAATGTTCGGTATTCATTTTGTTTGGTCCTCTTTGTGAGTTCAGCTCAACCTCACAGCGGGAGAAGAACTTGAGATTGAATACGAAGTGGATGGTTGGTTCATGGTATGTCATCCACCCTTACAGTGATGCATGCAGAGACAACACCATGTAACCCCCTGTTGTGTGACATGTTTGAGAAGACGGAGGAGAGACGCCAACTTTCATGATAGTGCTTGGCTTATGAATTTGCTCAGAGTATCCTAGAATGCGAGCTTTTAATGCAACTTGCTTTTGATTTGTTCTGTTTACTTTGCTTTTGTATAAGAGAGGAGTACGTTGTTTGGAATAGGATGCGTACCAATATGTGTTGTGGCTTGCTACAGGTGAAGAAAAAAAGACCAGGGCGCGATGGAAAGTCGCAGGGGCTTGTTCCAGTTCTTTATGTGTCTTAGTATTCATTAGCCCTCTAATTGAGTTTCCTCTGTTCAAGCAGACAATAGAGTATTATGCCTGGTCTTTGGGGACTAGCGACATGCATGCTCTTCACACTGTTTTTGCAACTATTGAGACACTTTCTCTTGAAAGAAAACAGTATTTACAAGAACCCAACAAAGACGTAGTCAGTCAATAAGTCTTTGCCCATCCGGCAATGTTATGCTTTGCTGACTGGTCTGTACTCGGTTGAAGGTCTTGGCTACATTCTAGCTTTAGTTTTAATGCTTGTCGAGATGGAAGGGTTTTGGTAATCATGCCTACTGATGGTATGTACTTGTTTGAGCAGCCAACAGGAATAATTAGGGAACGTGTACTTATGGCATCAGCGCAACTGTTTGTCGGAATTGTGATGATATGGTATGCTTTGTAGTTTCAATGCCTGCGAAAAGCTGTTACAGGTTGCTCCCTAAAGAGGAAAACTTCCAAAATGTCGACGGTAAGTTGGAATCGAAATCACTTCCCCAACTGGTTCCAGTTCGTTCCAGATCTTATTCCCAAGCTTATTCCTATCAGGACGTAAAAGCGTAGCGTAGAACCTTTTATCTGTATGTTCTGCAATTCTCAACCGCGAGGCTCAAGAACAATGGAATTTGAATCTGATGGGCTGAAGTGCTTTGTTTCTTCTCTTCGAAGTTCGTTGCTGTTTAGATTTTGTTCAAGTCAACGAATGTGTTCTCTCACGGAAACAGTCCTATTACAGCATTGTATTGGGTTTGCTGTGCTCAAGTCTACGAATTGAATCTTTTCCGCACTTGATTTCCTTGACTGATTACCTCGAGATGTTTTATGTCTTCGCCATGCAAGTTGGATAGTAACTGCAGCCCACATGCGCCAAGTTGTCGAGTAGTATCTGGTAGTCCACTTCAGCTGTTCACTGAAGATTCTATCTCTGAAGTGGTCCGTGATGAACTTCAGGTCGTTCGCCTTCAATGTGAAGGCTTCAGTCATCTCTTTGTCGTTAACGTTGCAGTGGAGAATGGCAACCGTCTCTCTGATTTGTGGAGACGCCAAGAAATGATTTCGTCGCCGAAGAAATCTCCTGGACAAAGCTTGCAGGTACTTCGATTACAGACTCTAATTTACCACATTGAGGATTGGAGTAAGGGTAGCGGCACCTTAACGTCATGACCCCCCAGAAAAGGGGATACAGAAAACACTGGCTGTATCTGGATGCGAAAAAAATTGCTGTCAATTACAGCCAGTGTTTTTTTCGCATCCCAGACCAGGTCTCCCCGACCAATCACCAACGATTCTCTGAAAACATAAGCAGTTCACAGCTGCAGCCAGATCTGGTTGGGACAAACCCCGGTATCAGAATGAATGTAGATTTTCTAATCTGGTTTTAAAGGATCTTCTAATTCCTGGAGAATCAGACTGATAACAGACGAGATGCAATTTAGTGTTCGGTATTAGATCCTGTTTTTGAATGTTGGGTATTTTTCTTTTTCTTTTTCTTTTAAAAAAAAACATTACATAAATACCTGTGTTACGTATCCGCAATCGACCAAAGCCCTCATCGTTGTCAGTCCAATCAGGTTCCCTTTTTGCACTTAAAGACACGATAAGCTAGCATTGATTGAGAACCCGGAGAGGAACATGGGGTCCAAGGCAGTGCCGAGAGCAGACGATCCATTTGTTGGCCACTCCACGATGATGAGCACTGCTATCACAGTACGGTAACTTAATAGAACCCAACTTTGGAAGTACTAGAACGTATCTTTTTGCTGTATTCGAGACATGATTCATCATGTGACACAAGAATGTGTGGACCTGAACGGCTTCGGGCTGGACGACAACAATCCAGCAACTGAATCTTCACAAGAGGGACCTATTCTCCCACCGGACCGATCCAGTCCCATACATGTTCAATAGGAATCACAGCCCTCTATGCTTCGACCAGAGGCAATGCTCCAAGAAAATACAGAATCTAGAGAGTTTGTCTCCTGAGCTAAGAAACTGTCACGTAGCCAGAATCCAATACATTTATGTGAAAATTCTTGGCAACTCAAAGTGAATCCAACAACAGATAGAGCAATTTATATTTATAATTATGTATTTTCTTTTGTTTTCAAAGTAAATACCATGAAAGCAAAGAAATATGAATGCAACGATGAGGGTTGGAAATTGTCACCTTTGCCCCCGAGTAATTTCTGGTCGTTTTGAGGCGCTTGATGAGCTCATGGTGCTCATGTGCACCCGCTTGAACACACTCGAGACCTGGGTTGTTGAAAGTGCCGGACGGTGTGGAAACGCCTCTCCCCAGGGCAATCTCATGTAGGAAGTTGAGATAAAACGCAGCATTATAATCAAACTTAGAACACTCATTCCCCGCAACAGCGATGGTGTCATTCTGAAGGATGAAAACATCACTGTCTCCTTGTTACTTTCCTAGCAGGCCTTGTGGTCAGTGGTATCTAACTAATAGTTCCATACTACGTCAACATTTCCTTTCCTTATCCTCTCATGATGCCGTCTGACTGCAGCGAAGGTGTGAGCGAAAGGCAGTGATGACGCCCAGGTCATGTCAGGACTGGGTATTGACTAGAAGTGACAATTCGAATGGTTTTGATGATGTGCTGCTACAGAATCATGCAGTGTCGTGCTAAGTTGCATGTTCAGACGGAGCATTGACCAGAATACCATCACCCATGGTTAGAGTTCTATCTATGTTGTATCAATCGACTCTCCATCCTGCTTTTGAGCCAAGTTGCAACATATATTCTGGTTTCTTCTGGCCGAACTTCACGTTTGACAAATGACATGGAAATGGTGCTTAGTTGATGCAACTCCTGGGTGTTTGTAGCAAAACTACAAGTTTTTTGTGGATCTGAAATGAATTTTCTCTTTCTGTTCAACATGGTCCTTTTAACAATCTTGTGACTAACAATTTATCAAACAAAAATATGTATATCAACGTCGAACTTTTCTTAGGTGGATAAAATATTGGAATTCAAAGTAAAATATCCTCTTACATTTATTGTTATTCTTTGAAGATATTTGAATGAGGAATAAAATTTTTAGTTACAAATATAGTCTTTGAATACAATATTTACTAAGCTTAGATTTCTATTGTGAAAAAAAGATCTTAAAGTACTTTTAATAGATTGACATCCTTCTCAAGATTAGCAATATAATTCTATAAGAATATAAAAGGTTTGCAAAGATAAATAGATTATTGAGGTAATAAATGCCTCTAGGCTATGAGTTGTGAAGAAGGAAATTTCTTGTGTTGTTGATATATACATATTAAAAGAAAGTATTATATTTGAAGAAACTAAAAAAAGTTTTGGAGATGGAGCAATGAATTGAGATGCAAATTATAGTTTATTTGATTGTGTTGATATTGAAGTTAAAATTTTCTATAGATATGAAAAATTTAAGACAATCTTGATGAGATTTGAATGGACAAATGGAATAAAAGATTTGTCAATCATGATATTTCAAGATGAGTATCTAGTTAGTCTCTAAAAAGTAGCATTTGTATCTTTTTTTGCATTTATCATAGCTTGAAAGTATGCAGTGGAAAAAAATATATATCTATATATATATATATATATATATATATATTCAAGAAGAAATTGGAATAGTTATTTCCAAGGACAAAGAAACTAGAAACTCTTGAAATTAGACTAAAAACAAAAAAACAAATTGGCAAGAGTATAAAAGGTCTTATTCTTATATTTATATATACTATCTATCTAAAAATTATGTGGAAATGTTCTATAAGAGCTCCAACACATGTCTATATTATAGAACACAAGTATCTGATTTGTAAGACAAGCTTCTTATATAAGCGTCATATATTCAACTTGTATGACAAGTGGCCAATATGTGCAATACGTGGCCAATTTTTTGACCAAGTTTTTCACCTATCAATCACCTATAGACACATATAAAAATAAAATTGCATCTATAAACCTTCTAAAATACTTTTTTATAAGATATTATCAATTTTATCTATTCTTACCTACTTCTACTTATTTATATTATCTAAAATATTATTAAAATAAGTATATATATATATATATATATATATATATATTTGTGATATTATTCTTTTTTAGATAAGTGTTCCATGAAAAGCTAAAAATAATATGTTAAAAAAGTCTAAGATGCAAAAAATTATAATTGCTACATATCCTCATTTTTGTTCTCTTTGAAGATAATTAATACATTGTTTCAACTATTGATAGTGTTATAAACTAGGATAAAAAGACTACATTGATATTTTATTATTATTTTATTGATAAGGCTATGACAATGTCTCATTTGATAATTTAGCAAACAATAGGTCTTGAGTTGAATCTATTGGCTATTTATTCTGTATCTTTTTAATGCCACAAGTACAAAAAAATCACAAGTAAGAATAAAAGATAGAATACAAGCTTTACTAAACTTTGTTTTTTTTATAGCAAAAAATTGTTTGAGTCTTTATCTTTGGTTTGATGGATGTTGTTGATAAAAAGTTTGACCTTTTATATTGTGTTAGCAAGATTTTTAGATGTGTATTTACTAATATTATATTTTATCAATGTAGAATATATTTTAATATATTTTTGGCACTGCCTTAAATCTAAGACTTCTTTAATCTTAAATTTTTTATTATTGATTATTTTTATAAAATATAGTGGAATTTTTCTTTTTTTCAAAATATTCACTATCTTGTATGATTCAAGAAGAAATACATGGAATATATAATAGATCTTTATAGATTCTAATTGATGTAATCAATAAGCAATTATATTGATTTTTTCATTAATAAAAAATAGTCCAAGTTTATTGTAATCCAACTTATTACAAAGGCTGTTAGTTTTGATATTATAATGAAATAATCATATCTTCTTGTCTAAGTAGAATTAAAATTGGTCTTTGTAATAGACATCTATGGTAATCTTTTTTTATTCTTTAGCTTCTTTTAATTATACCTTTATTGTTGCATTTATCTCTAATAAATACTTCTTCCAATATTTTATCAAAAGATTATCAATTTTTGAAAAGTCAAAAGTATCAAATTATAGATGATAATTATAATTAATAAAAAAATATTTTTTGAATAAAAAAATTATTATATTATTATAAAAAAAACTCTATCAGTGACAAAACAGTTGTTTAATTATCTTTATGGTAGTTAATAATACATCTTAGATAATATTCTAAAATTTTATTAATGTATTCTATTTTTTACATTAATTTAAAGATAAAAAATCAAAGATAATTTTATGTCCATCTTTAATACATTGAAAAGAACTTTTTGAAACCTTGATACAAATTAGATCCTTCTTTTGGATATAATATTCCTTGAAAATCCATAATAATAATAATAAATATTATCAAAAATGTTTAGCTACTTCTTCATCTATAATAGATTTTGTACATAATAAAAATATACCATTTTAGTAAAATGATCTACTTTAAAAAAATATAAAGACTTAAAAACATGAAATTGGAAGATTCATGATAAAATTATTAGAAACAAAAGACCATAGTTGTGTTGGTATAGGTAGTGGTTGAAAAAATCCATAAAGTTGATGTTAAGGAGTTTTTGATCTTAAATAAATATCACATGATTGTAAAAAGACTTTAATTGTCTTTCTCATTTAACACTATCATATTACATGAAGTCTTGCTTAAGAATGTATTAAGCTCTTGGCTTTGGAAGATAAAACAAAAATTATAATAATAAGATGCTAAAAACTGTAATAGAATTCTAAATAAATTCCAATTAAATCTCAATAATGTTAATCAAGCTTTAATCAAATCCAAAAGAAATATTTAAGAAATTACAAAAGAAACATGAAGAAATCTTTAAAAAATATTAAAAAAAACCTTAAATAAATCTTAAATAAATCTTAAATAAATCTTAAATAAATCTTAATAAAATCTTATTTGAATCCTAATTAAAATTTTAATGGACTTTAGCTAAACCTTAGGTCAAATCATAACTAAACTCTAACTCTTAAACCAAATCCTAAACAAATCCTAAATCCTAAATCCTAAATCAAATATTAGATAAATCCTAATTCTTAAACAAATCCTAAATCCTAAACCAAATCCTAGAAAAACTTCAAATCCTAAATCCTAAATCAAACCCTAACCAAATACTAACCAACTCAAATCAATCCTAATGTAGATTAGAATCCCAATATCTACTGATTAAAGTATTGGATTTGCTCAAAAATTTATACATCTCTTAATCTCTTAGTTAAAAATAAGAATAAAAAATTTGAAGATAATTTCACTTATCAAATAAAAAATAAAAAAATCCTAAAATTTGCTTAGATATTGGCTAGCCTCCTACTCCAATCTAAATATTGAACTTCCAATGCTAATATCTCCTTTTTGAACTATTGAATTTCTCTAAAATTCCCTTAAATTATTAGAAATCAAGTCTAGTTTCTATACAAAAAAAATTCTTTTCAATCCAATCTACACATTGCTAAAAATCTTAAAAATATTCATTATCCTTTAAACTCTAATTTCTGAGACCTCAATCCACAAAAACCTTCACATACTTCGATCCAACCATTTGATTGATCTCAAAATTTGCACACACATTTAAAACTAGCACACCAACACTCTATCTAAAATTTATTCATATACATACTACAAAATTCAAGGAACCCTTAAATATATAAATATAATTTTATTTCTCAAAATCTAAATCAATTGAGAATATTATTAAATTTGAAAATTCTTTCAAAACTGAATATTAACTCAATTGACATAAATCCATGCCCAATAATCTCTTTGCAAGTCTGCTCTCAAACTCCACTGTCCAATCTACCAAAGAACTCTAAAGTTGCTATAGGTCTGTGGTTTTGTACCTTAGGATTTGATTTTGATCCAGATTTACAATTGATACTCTTTGGGTATCAATTTTTGGCTTCTTAAGATAATTTTTACTAAAATCTACTCTTAACTTTCTTTTATATATGCTTATACTATTTAATTTTCCAATCTACTTTGTTTTGTATTATTTATGGCCCTACAAAATAAGTAGAAGCTTATTTTGCAAAAGGACAACATTATCACTCCTTTGTTTACTATCTTTTGACTATTATCTATATTTATAAGATAATTTTTTCTTTGTATTTTTCTTTGTATCAAAGACATGAATGTCAAAGAACTTAAAAATCTTAAGTCACTTAAAAAGGCTAAAAAATCATTCAAAGATGGTAAGATATTAAATTAGAATGGCTATTGCTAAAGGTAAGAAGACTAAAAAATCTTAAAATAAGACTAAGGATTAAAAAGATATTGACAAGAATAAAGAAGAATTTATTCTTATTTCCATATATACTATTTAATTAGTAGCTACATGTCAACATTCTATAGGACCTTCAACATGCATCCAATTTACAAGACATATGTCTTAACTTACAAAAAAAGTTTTTTAAACATACACCACATAATTAGCATATACCACAAGCTATCAATATGTATAATATGTGGCTAACTTGTTGGCTAAGTTTCTAACCTATTAATCACTTATAAACATGTATAAAGATAAAATATCATCTTTGAAGCTTCTAAAAAGCTTTCCTATAAGATATTATCAAATTAACTTATTTTTATCTATTCATAATATTTAAATAAATATTGAAATAAATAAATATATCCTTAATGGTATTCTTTTTTTTAGAAATGAGTTCCATGAAAAGCAATGATTATATATTGAGGACATCTAAGATACATCGAATTGTATTTGCTACATATTTTGATTTTT